GCAGAACCTCCCAAGCCGCTTCGATGTCTGCGTATAGATTGTCTTCTGAAGGCTTCCCTGTGCTTCTCCCATACCCAGAGTAATCGTAGCTGAAAACATTAAAATTGAACTCATCGCTCATTTCGAGTAAAAAACCAGCCGTGAGACCGAGATCTTCCCCATTCCCATGAGATAACATGATGGTCCGTTGCCCAGCATCGGAGCACCGAATAAACAAGGTGACGATTCTGCTTCCTCGGGAAGTATTAGTGAATCCCACCTCGAAGCGTTCCTTCTCGTCTTTTTCACACACCTGTCCCGCTTCCTCCCTGAAAAAAATCTCCTGGATGTTCTCGGTGTCACTGGATGACGGTCTCAAATCGTATGAGGGTGGTGGTGGGTAGAATGCAAATAAGGATGCAATCTTTGACGTCACGGCGTTGACTACATCCCCAAAAATGGAAGTCGTTGTCCCAGAGGAAGCCATTCCCCTCGCCTCCATCTTCTTAGCATCTGCTCCTGGAGAGTCGCATGAAAAGAGAAAGGCACAACATTCTGGTTTCTCCACTGTCTAAGTTGATTTCAAAAACGATCATTCAGGTTTCTGTCGCAGAAGTCGCCGCTGGGAGATTGGCATAGAATGTTACCGATTGTCTCGCCATGTCATATGATTACTCACGAAGAAAAAAAAGATGTCCATGATTAAAGTTATGGAATGATAAATGACCTTCTCTGCTCATTGATTGAAAGACCTTTACGAATAATCAGAAAACCTGTAGAACATCAATTATTTTTAACTTTAGCTTCCAGGCGCACTAACTTGCTGAAACGTTAGACCTCGGAAAAATTAAAGTCACGATGTGACAGAAACGAATTTCGTATTTTGACCTCACTGAGTGAGCAAGGTCATCTCTAAATCAATTAATTCCAACGGTCAAAAGGAGAGACGGTGAAATTAATGTGGAACCTCTGTCCCATTCAACTCTATTTTCCATTTTAAAGCAATCTCACAAAGAAAAATGAAAAAAAAATCGTAAGTGGCAGGATGAGTTCTAAAATTGACTTCGAACCACTCCAAGCACGATACCTAAGGAGACTTGATAATCCAGGAAATTTCCAAAATTATATCTCGTCCCCTCCGTAAGCTTGAACCGGTCAAACAGGGAGGGCAACGTGTCAACTAAACTGCACTTGACGATATTGCAACAAGCAATACAATCGAAAATGTAAAACCAGGAAATGACTCCGAAGTAGTAGGCCTATCTTCGAAAAATGTGAACCTTTGCATCGTATGCGCCTACCGGGAAACAATAGACGGAGAACATGTCGGTTAGTACTTGCTCTGCACCTGGAATGAGGTCAGGGAACTTGGTGGCAGTCCTGTTTCCAGCATCCAGGCAAACAGATGGCCAGTGTTGGGCGCGTTACTTTTGAAAAGTAACTAGTTACAATTACAAGTATGTCATCCAAAAAGTAATTAGTTACCAGTAGAATTACTTCTCACCAAAAGTAACTAACTACAAGTAGAAATTACTTTTTAAGTTACTTTTCCTGAACAAAAATTTCGATCTTTCTACAGCTTCTCCACTTCTTCGACAGAAGCTGGATGCATGAACTGAAAGCGAAAATTACCCTTGATTTCGCGAAAATTGAATATAATCATCACTTAACGGGATAACTACTCATGCTCACTCTTTTCCTGTGCCTCTTCCCTTTCTATGGGCTACTTAACAGGAATTATACGCCGATAGACAGAATGCACCCTTTAGTTTTAAAAAAGNAGGAAAAGTAACTTAAAAAGTAATTTCTACTTGTAGCTAGTTACTTTTGGTGAGAAGTAATTCTACTGGTAACTAATTACTTTTTGGATGACATACTTGTAATTGTAACTAGTTACTTTTCAAAAGTAACGCGCCCAACACTGGCCATCTGTTTGCCTGGATGCTGGAAACAGGACTGCCACCAAGTTCCCTGACCTCATTCCAGGTGCAGAGCAAGTGCTAACCGACATGTTCTCCGTCTATTGTTTCCCGGTAGGCGCATACGATGCAAAGGTTCACATTTTTCGAAGATAGGCCTACTACTTCAGAGTCATTTCCTGGTTTTACATTTTCGATTGTATTGCTTGTTGCAATATCGTCAAGTGCAGTTTAGTTGACACGTTGCCCTCCCTGTTTGATCTGTTCAAGCTTACGGAGGGGACGAGATATAACTTTGGAAATTTCCTGGATTATCAAGTCTCCTTAGGTATCGTGCTTGGAGTGGTTCGAAGTCAATTTTAGAACTCATCCTGTCACTTACGATTTTTTTTGCATTTTTCTTTGCGAGATTGCTTTAAAATGGAAAATAGAGTTGAATAGGACAGAGGTTCCACATTAATTTCACCGTCTCTCCTTTTGACCGTTGGAATTAATTGATTTAGAGATGACCTTGCTCACTCAGTGAGGTCAAAATGCGAAATTCGTTGCTGTCACATCGTGACTTTGATTTTTCCGAGGTCTAACATTTCAGCAAGTTAGTGCGCCTGGAAGCTAAAGTTAAAAATAAATTGATGTTCTACAGGTTTTCTAATTATTCGTAAAGGTCTTTCAATCAATGAGCAGAGAAGGTCATTTTATCATTCCATAACTTTAATCATGGACATCTTTTTTTTGTTCGTGACTTATCATATAACGTGCCGAGACAATCGGTTACATTCTATGCCAATCTCCTAGCGGTGACTTCTGCGACAGAAACCTGACTGATCGTTTTCGAAATCAACTTGGACAATGGAGCAACCAGAATGTTGTGCCTTTCTCTTTTCATGCGACTCTCCAGGAGCAGATGCTTAGAAGATGGAGGCGAGGGGAATGGCTTCCTCTGGGACAACGACTTCCATTTTTGGGGATGTATTCAACGCCGTGACGTCAAAGATTGCATCCTTATTTGCATTCTACCCACCACCACCCTCATACAATTTGAGACCGTCATCCAGTGACACCGAGAACATCCAGGAGATTTTTTTCAGGGAGGAAGCGGGACAGGTGTGTGAAAAAGACGAGAAGGAACGCTTCGAGGTGGGATTCGCTAATACTTCCCGAGGAAGCAGAATCGTCACCTTGTTTATTCGGTGCTCCGATGCTGGGCAACGGACCATCATGTTATCTCATGGGAATGGGGAAGATCTCGGTCTCACGGCTGGTTTTTTGCTCGAAATGAGCGATGAGTTCAATTTTAATGTTTTCAGCTACGATTACTCTGGGTATGGGAGAAGCACAGGGAAGCCTTCAGAAGACAATCTATACGCAGACATCGAAGCGGCTTGGGAGGTTCTGCGAACGAAGCACGGAGTCCCAGAAGAAAAAGTCGTTCTATACGGTCGAAGCCTCGGAACGGCACCGACTGTTCATCTGGCTTCCAAGCTGACAAAACTGCCAGGCGTCATCCTCCACTCGCCCCTATCGTCTGGGATGGGGATGGTTCTCTCCAGCAGTTGGTCCCTGGGTCCTTTCCCCGTGGCAAAGTCGGTGCCCCTCATCGACTCGCCTGTGCTCGTCATTCACGGAACTCAGGATGAAGTCATCCCGATATCACACGGGAGGACCGTGTATGAGAGGTGTCGGAGAGCGGTGATACCACTCTGGGTCGAAGGGGGAGGACATAACAACATACAGGTATACCCCAAATATTGGGAACGAGTGGAATTCTTCCTCACGAAAGAACTCTCTGGTGAATGGGAACCACGTACTAACGTGGTTCTGTAGGCGCTGTAGGTATAAAGAGAATAAGGCTTGGTTCAATCTTTTTTGAAAATACCTGGAGGTCGAAGGTTCCCGAAGCGTTCAACTTGATCTCAAATGATCTCTAATCAGGAAATGAAGAACGTTTAGGTCGAGGCTTGAACTTCAGTTTTGGGAGATTTTCGATGAGGTCGTTCTTGTGACTCAAATGCTGTCCGTATGAAATATTTTCTGCTTCCAATCAAGGCAATTGCATGGAGCTAACTTCTGCGTCAGGACGAGGGGGACGAAAAATTGGAATTGGCATGAGTGAATTCAAGGTTCACAACTGATCTATCCCCCCCCCCCCCCTCCACCCTTTCCCCTTCGTCCAATGTGCATAAATCCTGCGACCTAATTCTGCATCCTGAACTTTCAGGGTGCGGGTGTAGTGATGCGTCGGCCCACATGAATTGAATGATTTTCATGCATTCGGTGCCTTTCAATAAAAACGATTTGTGCGGAAGACTACAACCTGAGATGCATTCTTCGCTCCACCAAACTGTGAACCAAAGATAGGGGTTCGTGCTGGACGCAGTTTGGAATGATGCAGACTAAAAGGGTGTCTCGCTGGAAGTGTGAATTTTGAGGGAAGATGGAACTTTACATTTTTATATGGTAACATTCCATTAAGTCATCAGTATGTCATCAAGTTGAATTTAATTCTCATACGAAAGTGAAAAGTAGAAGTAGAGAGCTACGTTGTCCCTATGTGTCTCCTCAATCTCTACATTTGTCTGCTTTAACCCTTTTAGTGCCAGACAACGATACATCGTTGTTTGAACCTCTCGTGAAAATGAGGGAGGGAGCTTCTTGGCACTATGAGGGTTAAACCAGACTCGAATCTGGAGTTTGACACAGACTGTTGGCGATAACATTTATTACTTTTCTACGGTGCGATACGGTATCAGAATGTGAATTCTTTCGGGCAGGTCGGCATGCGCGAAATGACAAAGGATTCCCGTATTATGTGTATTGCTCATTCCGTGTAGTTTTATCCTGTGGCCTTGGCCTAACTGGCCCAGTGATGTTGTGACAACTGCAGCCAATGGCTAGTCAATCTCATTCCCTGAGACTCTTTTTCTGACTCTGGTTTTCTCTGATGAATCTGCCAAGTCATGTCATGGGTCCCTCAGCTAATTAGTAATATCCATGTCATGCCATCTTTGATGGTTGTATTCCCACGAATTAGCTTCGCTAATAGGAGATAGTTGAAGTACTCTGAAAAGACAGTGGAGACGGGGCTCTACCCCCTTGGAAAGCTTTCAATAACTCTTCCATCCAACTCTTGCATCCAGTAAAACTTGTATCTACTGCAATGCATGTTCAATCACTATATTGCATCGTGCATGCTTCTAATGAAGCAATGAATGCACATTCCTTTCAATGAAGCATCCGATTATTACGTAAAAGCAGGATCATGCTGGTTGGTCAGAGCATGCAGCATGATTAGGCTCTGTTCGTTCCCTATTGTACGCGCTACTGTCGGAATTACTTCTGTCATGGAGGTTTCTGCTATCGGGAGTTACGTCCGTAGAACTGTTTTAATCTGTTTTTCTGGCATTACTCTTTTGTTGCAATGGTGGTAGGATCAGAAAGGCCCTGGGGCCTAATGGATAACGCGTCTGACTTAGGCTCAAAAGATTCCAGGTTCGAGTCCTGGCTGTGTCGGAAAGTTTTTAGCTCAATTCAATTCCTGAAAGCTTGAGGTATGCAGATGTGATTCACGACCGACGTCTTACAATGTCTTCTGTAACCAAACTAGCACAAATTTCGACTTTGTGAGTGCGTGGAACAAGCATGAATCCATATAGATTAAGATGTGCTTTTTGAACTTTTTTTTAACGAGTCATCATGCTTTGGAATAGGCTCTGTGTCGTTGGACGTTCGTATTCAATGGTCGGTTCCTTTCTGCTCCGTTTTCAGAGCCACCAATTCATCAAGTGAACACGGACTTGACAGAAGTAGACACCCTCTGAGTTTCAGATGGGCCACTTCAGACAACTTGATGAAGAACATGATTTGTGGCTGTAAGAACAAGCACACAGCAAAGAAATGAAGTACTAAGCATCATAGTATCTCACTAGTGCTACACACGATTCCAGAAGAAACTGATCCTCTTTGAAACGTGTCCATTTACATCTGTCAAGTATGTCGATTCTAAAAGGATGTTCCTAAACACCTCGACCTGCCCGCATTCGACTTTTCTCCCCTACTGACGTGCTGGTCATTTGAAGCCAAAGGGAAGCATTTAAAATTGAGCAATCGAATTAGATTGTAATCCAATCATATTCTGGCTTTGCTCTAGGTATGCCATCTGCTCGTCTGCTGGACGTACGACCAACAGACGAGCAGATAACAGACTTAGTGACGAAGAAATATTCATTAGAAAGCCTTCCTTGGGCATTCGGCAGACATGTCCATACCAGTCCTCTTGTGCTATTCTTCCAGAGAAGTCGCTCTTGGAATTTGAAGGAGGCCTTGCTTTGTCATGAAATACCGGATAATGCAAAATAAATAGCCACACGGCTCTTTAAAATTCTTTTGAGTGCATGAGATTACAGACAGCACGATATTTTTTTTTTTGCAATGACTTCTATGTACCCTTTAAATGTCCTAGCAATTTTTGTACATTTTTTTCCAGTCATGTTATCACGTGAGCGGTATTGGGAAGGCAACTCAACTTTTGTGGCTTTTTTTTCGCAAGAAATTGCATCAGTAAGACGGTGGTTGCTACGCGTTGTGCGCACCAATGCCGGGTCAGAACTCCCACTTTTGAAAGTGCTGCTCTTCGCGAAAGGTTGGGACAGGGCTAGAATATTGCACAGCTATACTGGTAATGGATGAAAGAAATGCAGACCGATCGCTAAGAGACTGATAAGCAAACTGCGAAAGACTGGTTCATCTAAGAGGAAGAGAGGGAGCGGAATACTAAAATTAACAGTTTTACTGCGACAACTGGGTACCTGGAAAAAAGATATAGTTTCCCAATACAGGGTGACTCAAAAGTCCTTGGGCACCTATTGAAAAAACCGTTGGACAAGTGATAGCCCGGTGATCTTTTGAGTGAAGCAACATCTACTACAGATCTATTTGCCTTCCAAGTTTCAGGTCGAAATATCAGGTGATATGGTTCCCAAACATCAAAGAGAAGCAGTGATTTTTCAAAACCAGAGTGGTCTTCCAGCAAGCAGGATCTCAAAGCTCACCAAAACCCCTCGATCTACTATCTACAGCATTATTCGGCGATACAATGAGCTTGGATCAGCAGCAGATCGCCAAAGAAGTGGACGTCCTTCCGTGTTCCAGGATAGGAAGTTCCAGAAACGAGTCAGGCAAATGCAATACCAAAATCCAGGGCATTCTGGAAGAAAGTTTGCGCAAACCTTGAGAGTGGACAAAGAGATCTTGCGAAGATACATCAGGGAAAGCTCTGCATGAAGCCTTTTAAAAAACAAAAGGTGCAGCTGCTTACAGAGATCAACAAGAAGAAACAAGTTCAAAGGTCCCGCCAGTTCCTCAAACGGTTTAACCAGTCCTCACTCCAAAGGATTGTTTTTTTCCTGACAAAAAAAATTTTCACTGTAGAGCAAGCTTACAACCCCCAAAACAATCGCCTCTGGGGTAAAAAGCTTTCCTCTTTCAAGTCTCACCAGCGATATGTCCATCGAGTTCAAAAACCAGGTTGTGTGATGGTGTGGAGTGGTGTTTGTGCTTCTGGCAAAACTCCCCTGCATTTTGTGCAGCCTCAGGCCAAGATCAATGCCAGCTACTAACAAGAGTGTGTTGAAGAAGGTGCTACTCCCCTGGACTCAGGAACATTTCAAATCCCAGTCTTGGACATTCCAGCAGGACTCAGCACCAGTTCACAAGGCAAAATCCACCATCGATTTCTGCAGAACTCACTTTCCAGACTTGATTTCCCTAGAAGAATGGCCTGCTAGTAGTCCTGATTTGAATCCATTTTATTACAGTGTGTGGTCCTACTTGCAGGCCAAGGTCTGCTGCAAGCCACACAAGAGTATCAATAGTTTGAAGCTTGATCTGCTGAAGGAATGGAATGAATTGTCGATTGATCAGTTGTGAAGAACCGTAAATGGTTTCCCAAAACGTCTGAAGCAGGCTATTGCCTCAAATGGTGATGTTTTTGAAACATAAAAACATGGTTCGTTTAGTTTTTTGTGGTCTTTGCACTGGTCAAATCAGAAATTAAATTGGTCTTCATTAGAGAATGCTACACTTGATTAAAGGTGTTCAAGGAAGTTTGAGTCACCCTGTATTTTGATCCGAAAAAATCCCTGCCCATCAGGAAATTGTCAGAAGTAGGAGCGGGTTAGACAACGGAAGTACAGAAACCCCTGGAGAGAATTTTCATTCCTAGGTCCTCCAGTCAGAGTCGAGGTGCAAGAGCAACTAAAGAGTACCGTACAGATGTGGCATTCTACTGGCCCTGTACCACTGGAATTATTATATATATGCACCGCGTCTTAATCGTCCAACCGTGAAAATAAATAGTAGTCCTCATTGGATCGGCGTAGGCCTATATGAAAAGGCCTGGAAACTAGACATATTCTCGATGGTCCGCGCGTCCGCGTCGCGTGGAGACAGGACAGTATGCCGTATCTGGCATCCTACAGGATGCCAGATACGGCATTTCACACGAGCGCCTAGCAACCCTGTGTACGCGGCCGGGAGCAGCCGCTCTCCTCCATTGTCTACTATGGATCCGTCGACCGCCTGGGCTGGAAGGGAAGTGGATTTTTTCGTAGAAAAGAGGCACCCCGGCCCAGGCGGAAAGCTGCGCGTGCGCATTGGGTCGTGTCGTCCGGTTGCTATGGTTACTGCGGACAGACGGAATGAAAAAGAAAAAAAAAGAAAAAAAGTGACAAACTGACCGCAATATCTGGCATTTCCCCGTAGTACCGATGGGAATGCCAGATAAAAATGAAATTCCAGTTGTTTTTGTAAAATCGCTTGTGTGGTAA